CAATAATTCGTGACGTCACCAATTCTGCCATTGTCGCGCTTGCTGTAGCTCTCTTATCCTTAGGTCCGCCATGCGCAAGAGCGCATTCCAACGAAATGTCCTTTGGGCAGTGCTGCTTTTTGCATATCAAGTGCTGGCAGACGAGCATAGTCACTCTGTAAGCTTTTTGCCTTGTGTTATTCTGTCTCTAACCGCGTTCTGCCAAACTTCAGTACACTCACGGTGAAGAAGTCGTCGTGTGGATGAACACAGTGGGTCCTGTCAGCAACATACAAGAGACATATGATTACTATCAACTCCCATTCTGTCGCGGTCAAGCCGAAGTTGAGCATCACCACGAAACTTTGGGAGAAGCTCTGCAAGGAATGGATCTGATCAATTCAGGCATACGGATACGATATAACCGTAAGTGTTGACGGCCAGCTTGAGGTTATACCCGGAGACTAAAAGAAAGGATTATACAGAGCCTGCAGAGGAAGCTGCGCTATGCGAAGCGGCTTATGGCAACAAGGAAATTAACCTCTTTACCTATGCCGTCAAGAATTCATACATGTATCAAATGTATATTGGTACGGTGTGCATTCTGCTGTAGCATGGATACTGACTTTACCTGGAAGATGACTTGCCCATCTATGGAAATGTGGGCGAGTACGACAAGAGTACGGATCAAGCCTACCTTTTTACCCATCAGGATTTCACTTTTGCATACAATGGCGACAGGGTAAGCAGCGTTGCGCAATAATCATCGACAGTCCTACTCCTAACCTTTCCAATTCATCAGATAATCCATGTGGAACTGAAGACAGGGAACAAGGTGGCATTGAATACAGATGCCACTCCGCTCAACATTCAATTCACCTATACTGTAAAGTGGACACCGACCGATAAGCCATTCGATAAGCGATTCGAGTCGTACTTGGATGCCGACTTTTTTGAGCACAAGGTAATGGTGCATTCTTTCTTGGCTTTGAAGTCTTCTGACTCTTCCTTCCATAGATCCACTGGTTCTCAATCCTAAATTCTTTTTTGATGGTGCTGTTCTTGAGCGGTCTTGTGTCCGTCATTCTTTTACGTACCCTACGGCGAGACTATGCCCGATATGACAAAGAAGAAGGCTTTGGTGACTTGGACCACGATTTGGGAGACGACTATGGCTGGAAACAAGTCCATGGCGATGTCTTTCGCTCGCCTCCTCAACTCATGGCGTTCTCGGCTCTTGTTGGCACGGGCAACCAGCTCGTAGTACTCGTCTTCTTCGTCATCCTCTATACCATCATTGGCGATTCCTATGCCGAACGTGCTACGATACTTACCGCGACTATATTCCTATATGCGTTGACCTCCGGCCTTGCAGGTTATCGAAGTGCCAGTATTTATGCTCAATATGGAGGTTGGCTATCGCACTTTGGCTACATGTCGTGACTGATGATGGCTGTTCTCAAATTAGGCAAAGACTGGATCAAGAATATGCTCCTTACAGCATTACTTTGGCCGGCAATGGTTAGCATAGTCACCGCCTTCATCAATTCAGTGGCGATCTATTACTCTAGCTCAAGAGCTATTGCCTTTACGGTGATGGTAAGCTTGCTTCCGCGAAATCGCGTTGGCAATCATAGCGCTGATGAATGTCTTAGTTGGCTATGCTGGCAATCTGGCTATTCCTATGCTTTCCGCTTACACTGCTAGGCGCTATTCTTGGCAAGAATTGGGCTGGACAACCCAACTTCCCTTGCCGAGTCAATCCTATCCCAAGACCTATACCAGAGAAGAATTGGTAAGCTTGTTTCGCGGGTACTCGATGATTGATTTGCTGACGCCGCCTAGCCTGACTGAACCACTTGTAATCATTGCAATGGGTGGTATTTTACCGTTCGGATCCATTTTCATCGAAATGTACTTCATCTTCACCTCTTTCTGGGCGTACAAGATCTACTACGTGTACGGCTTCATGCTACTGGTCTTTGCGATATTGCTCATCGTCACTGCTTGCGTGACACTGGTCAGCACATACTTTCTGCTCAACTCTGAAGATCATCGATGGTGAGTGTTACGCAATGAGCTGGACTTAGCACTCATGATTTGCTAGGCACTGGATGAGTTTCTTGACCTGTGGATCAACCTCGGTCTACGTTTTCTTGTACTCTATATACTACTTTTTCCAGCGCACAAGGTAAGAGACAATGTGCGTCAAAGAATGTCACTCATTAGGAAAACATCCCCTCTTAGGATGCATGGTCTATTTCAGACAAGCTTCTACTTTGGATACACTGGGCTTGCGTGCTTTGGTCTGTTTTGCATACTTGGTAGGCTTCTTGCTATTGAGTCCACCATCAAACTCACCGAATCTCTCTTGATTCAGGCTTCGTTGGTCACATGTCGGCAAACTACTTTGTGCGCAGGATTTACCACAATGTGAAATTAGACTGACCGACATCCCTTACCCTTCCGTACCCAAGGTCTGTATATTACATTTTCGGAAAAGTATATCTTTTGCTGCGCAAGCGCACCTTTTTGTCTCTCTTCTTTGCTCTACCATTGCAAGGTTCATAGCTGCAATGCTCGCATTCTTGCATATCCCATATTCTTGACTAACGCGGCAACCAAATCGTTTTTTCGGCTCACCTGCAGTTATGTTCAAATAGCTTCGGCCGACCGAATTGTTGGAAAGGATGCTACTCCAAGTCATATTACCTCAAGGTTCACTCTCTTACGACACAGCAGACATTTTGCGGAAGTCTACGCCATTGACCACGAAAGAACATTTGTTCGGCTACGCGTTAGCTGCACACGGTTCTACGATTTTTGCAAGTCGCACTACATGCGCCGGCAAGTCTTTGATCAGCTTTACATGGTACATTCGGCCGAATTTCTGGAAACTGAGCGAACACCCTTACGGAAACTGAAGATTTGGAAATACGATGTGCCGCGACAAATGCGAATTCGCTACGCATGGCGGCAAGAGCAGAAAGAGTTTCTTCAATATGATTTGTTTGCTTGGAAAGCCTTGAGAGCCCGGTTAAAACCACTCTCTCTTAAGCGATGCCTGGTTCATACAGAAGGCAAGTGGTCTTACGATGCTGTAATGCATCTGACTGACGCATGTTTTGAAAACTTTGGCTCAAGCGACCTTGCTCACAGTTGGTATACTCTCCGTCTCGGGCAATTGTTTTAAATACTTTTAAGCGCTTGATTCAACACATGTTACTGGATGAGAGAGTGATCAAATATCCATTAAAACGATGTGGCCGATCTACAATGCAGACTTATATCGCAACTTGGTGCTCTTGGGAAACAGTTCGCACCCTTCGATGGCGGACCATTACAGGGTTTGCGAGTGTAACGTACCGTGCGAAGGCATCGACGAAGTCATGAACCCTGGACGAAAGCGCAGGTGATTGGCTCATCATACAGTCTATATCTTGGGAGAAGTGATTTGGACACGGCATTCATCTTTACCGTGCGTCGATACGATGAACAACTCTCACGAGTGCATGCTCTCAACTAGCTGCTTTATGTTTTGATTCGCGAGGAAATGGATACTATCGACGAGGATTGGGTGTACTATCATATTTCCTTGAGATTAATGAATCAGATATGCATGGTATGGAATGAAGATTGACAGGACAATAGAGTGATGAGCGACGCAGACCGATCAAGGGTCGGTGTGGGTGACACGAACGCAATGTCCCAAGGTATAAACATATGTATAAACCAATTTTACAAGACACACAAGCACCTAACGTGCAGCCACAAGAATGAGCGTCAAAATGGATCCAACGATCGCAAAGAGTAGCAATACACAGCACATCTTGTTCCGCGCTGATCTCTGATACCGTGACGCTGTGGTCAGTTCATCTGCGGCTGAACGCACGTTCATGGCCATATTGGTCACATTGCTTTCAATCGATTCTGCCAATTGATTAGCGACATCCCGATATCTTCCCAATGTTGCCCAACGAATACTTACGGATGCCAGTTTCTTGCTCGTTGACCATGGTGGCCAAACTACGAAAGACCTCATTGAGCTCGGTGATACCTTGTTCAATTTCTCTAATTTCGCCCTCCCGTTCGGCGATAAGGTTTTCATTGTACTCAATCTCATTGTCGGCTACTTGTAGTTGCAAGCGACGTTGGCTTTCATCTACCAGTGGGGTGAACTCGTGGGTATGCTCTTCCTCACTGATACCAAATGCCAAAAGTCAGATTTGGGTTTGACAAGATCAAAGTCCCAAACTTACGCAACATCGTGAGCGGCCTTGGCTTTCGCTACATATTCTCGCTGTTTCTGCGCAGACAGTCGTTGGGCCGTCTGAAAATCGCCAACGACCTTTCGGAAATCCTTGGACAATTTGGACTGCTCAATCTTGCGCTGTCGCTATTCATAATGTCAGCGAATACACTCCACTGCAAGCATGAGACTTACCATTCGGTTGGCGTCATTCGTTTGATAGGTGGATAAGCGTTTAATAGCGTCCGTGGTATCTCGTACAATATCGTGTGTTGACTCGGTGAGATTATGTCTGCAGCAATGCTGTCAATATCCATCCTCATACCATACAAAAGCTGCCTACAGTCGATTACGCATGTCGGGCGTATCCCGTGAAGTACCGAGTTGACTTATCAACCGCTGTATAGAGTCAACGTTCTTCGTGACGTCGAATATCTGCTGAGAGATCGCGGAGAGTGCGCTTCTATACTCTTGGTCGTCATCACCTGTATATTCATAACATTAGCATCGGAAGAATACCATCTCCGCTGCCCTAAGCCAGCTTACCAGTAGCCAAACGAGAATAACCAAACTCTCTACCACCTCGTCCTCGCTGAGAACCACCGAATCCTTGCTCAAGATCGTTAAACGACATGATGTTGCTGGAAGACAAGGTAGAAGGGAGTAGAGACTGAACTAAGGAAGGAAAACGTATGGCAATAGAGACACCGCTGGAGAGGACCAAAAGGAAGTCTTAGTAACACTTGGCAAAAGGTCAAGACGAACAAAAATAAGGTCCTGCTGAGACTCGAACTCAGGTCGCCAGATTCAGAGTCTGGAGTGATAGCCGACTACACTACAGGACCCCTCGCACAAAAAATTTTCGAGTTTGTATTTTATATGTGGTAAGGCTTCAGTGATGTGTCACGTGCTTCGAGTCAAGAAGTGTAGCGGTCTTGGTTCTCCTGAGCACCGTCTTTTGCGTATTTTAACTTCTCATGTCAAAGAAAAAGTCTACTTAAATGGCGTTGAAAGCTTCGAAGAGAAAGCTCCGATGCGGAATTGTTCTATGCATCAATTTCCAAACGTATGGCCTTTGAATTTCGTACACGGAATTAATCCGTCGTGTGGCGGGTGTGATTCAATCCTTTTTCACCTTAGGAAGGTCATGTTTCAGCGGAAACTCAGTCATCATGCTCACAAGCAGGGCAAGAGACAGCACCCTCCCCATTGAGTGTTGTTAACCTACTTCCATAGTCTATTTGCAGCAAGTAATATGTACACGTGTTGTTATAATTCCATGCGGGGTTTCGACGGATTCCCACGTCCCAATCCTGGTGAGATAACAATGGGTGTGCCTGAGCGTTGAACAGTCGAATTGCTCGCGGGTAATGCTTGCAGCAATCCTGGTTTCTGGTTCGTAGGACTACTGAGTGGACTGACCCCACCCTCACCTTTGGTATTCAAGGGTGAGCTTTCGGCAGATTTGTGGGATCCTAGAGAGGGAGGCGACTGGGTATCTTGAAATGGTGCTCCACGTTGTGCATTCACAAGTGAAGCAAGGTAGGGTGTTTTGCCGTTCGTATGATTGGAGGTCTCCGACTTGGCTTCAAGGTTGCTTTCCATAATGGTACGTAATGACGTGGATGTTGCGTTCCCTTTACCTGGCGAGTGACCCGAATGTTGCTCCATGCGTCGTTTCTTTGCAGATTCCTTCAATTTCTCCCAACGCTCCTTATATTTTGCCATCAGATTGTTCTGCCTGTCGTTCTCTTGCTTTAGGCTTTTAACTTCGCTTTCCAACTCGAGGATCCGTCGGCGGAGGGCAATGTCCGTTTCAGTATCTATTGCAGTCGTGGGATTTTGAGACACGCTATCGTTGTTAGGAGCAGATAGGTTGAGGTTGTTGACTGCCTGTTGAAGAGGCACCATACGACTGAGCGCCATAGAATTTCGCAGGCTATCTTGCGATTGCATCAATTTCTTGGCCTGTTTCTGGAGATCCAATTTAAATTGGACAATGGACGATTTAAGCATCGTATTCTCCTTGGAAGCCTAAGCAGGCGAATCAGTTCACGCTCCTCCAGGGTAATACCAACCTGTTGCAAGTCGTACAAGTTTCGTGTCAATTGATCAATGGTTGCCTTCAAATGCTCATTCTCAATCGCATACTCTTCGATGCTCTTGTTCGGTCTATCATTGAATTGTCAGACCTTGCTTTCTGTACGTAGCGCGCAATCACTTACTTGACATAGGGTAGACCGCCGCCCCTTCCGTGAAAAGGGCCATGCATGCTAGGCTTACCGTGAGCAGTACTGCTTAGCTTCTGCAAGCGATTGCCTTGCGTCCGGTTCATCTCTAGATTCGGTGCATTCGCATTTTCCGGGACCAAAAAGTAGGATTCTTCCAGGTTCGGGTTATCTATGGGGCCATGAGGCAACTGCACGTGGTAAAATTTGACTTGAAACAGACAAGCACTCACGTTCAGACCTATCCGCTTTTGGCATTGACAAATCGGCACCTTTTTGGCCCATTCTCGCGGGCTCAAAGGAGCGCGAAGCTGTGCGTGCCATGCTATGTTGTCGATCACTTGGGGAAGAGATATCAGAGGCGTCGTCGGGAACCAAGGGTATTGTTGTGAAAGCCACAGGATTGCTCAGTTTCTGCACCAGACCTTCAACAATCTCCCAAAACTTATTAAATGGATCAGCGTCGTCGTCGTCATTAGGGTCACGAAGGACCATGTATGACCCATCAAATCGAGTGCTAAGTTCGTTGTTGGCGGTGGATGATGAAAACTGCGAATTAAGGAGGTCCGGATGTTCGGCTTCGGGTACGGTGTTGAAATGACCACGCAACGGCGATGATGGAGGTTGATTGGAGGACTGCGCCTGTTTGCGGTATTGATTTCGAATATCCATGGCTGGGTTTTGCCCTTTGCCGAGCTGCTCCAATAGCGTGGACCCTTCCGATGGATATCCGGAATGCTGAACGGTTAGCGGTGTTTGCTGTATGTTCGATAACGACGATGTGGCATTGTCCTGGGGTCGCTGTACCTGTATCGGGCCATTGGGACGGGACAGGCGCCGCTGTATCTCTCGTCCTTTTCGAGAGTGGTTTGCGCAAAGTAGTTTCAGCGTGCGCACAGCCTAAAATCTCCGTTCAGTATGCATGGTCGATGCTTGCCTGTCACTCACCTCAGCATCCGACGTTCGTGAGACCGCGTCATAAAACAACTCTAAACAGCCGAACCCAGAACGTGAGTGACTTGCCATATGCCAGTGTGAAGGAGGCAAACTCACCAGCGGCTCTAAAGTGAGCGTCCGCAGCTTTGCTCCATTCTTCCTTATCCTCCCAACTCTCCGCCTCCGCAGCATATTGGTGTGCCTAATGAACATATGTTGGGTTAAATGTATGGTAGAAGCTTTCAGACTTACAGCAACTACTGGAGAGTCTTCCATGTCATGCACAATGCCTTAAAACCATGGCAGAGCAAAAGAAAAAGCAAAAGCTGTCAATTTCAAAAAGCCTATCATACATCGTTGGAGACTTTCTCTACACGCGCACACAAACACAAAACTTTTTCACTGTATGAGAGGTGGTATACAGTCAACTCTCGCTTTTTTCTGGCTGTTGAGGGGATGGGACTTCTTGAGAGGGTGTAGGATGTTTGGGAAAGTATGAGCGACTGCCTCTGCCGCGTCCACGTCCATTGACTTGGTTCTGTGGGCGAGTACTGCCTTCAGTATCTTTGGGTTCGGTGGCTGGGCTGTGTGAGGGACTTTGTGCATGGAATGTGCCTCGGAAAGCGCCTCTGTGATGAAAATTAGGATTGAAACGGCTGCCATGCCAATTCTTGGATCGTCTTTCTTCGGCTAGGACGATTGCTCCCTTGTCGCCCACAGGCACCTTGTTCCGTGCTACAGCTTTCCTGTAATCGTCCATATTTGTGAATTCTACGAAAGCACAGTTCTGCAAAGCATGAGTTTAGTGATGATTGCGTGGACAAGGAGCATAACTCACCTTCGCGTGAAGAACGTCAACAGCGTTCACCACACCAAATTGACTAAAGGCTTCTTTGAGCATGTCTTCAGTCATATCTGAGGTAACGCTTTTCACAAATATCGATAAGGATTCGTCTAAACGAAATGATTGCTTAGTTTCAACCTTCGGCAAGTAATTTGCGTTTCTGACTTACTCAGCTTACGACGCGGGTTTGGCTCTGTAGGCTTTGAAGATTTCGTAGGAGTTACATCGCCTGTACTGCCGGTCTCATTAGCTGGTGTTTCCGTATCAGCAGGCTGAGATCCTTCGGTTTTAACGGCCTCTTTGGCAGGAACGTTGATGGTGGCTTTCCCGTTAGACTTGGCTTTGGGACTTTGATTCGCCGAACCACCACCTTGCTGTGGTTGCTTCTGCTTGTCTTTTTGTTGTCGACTTTGCGGTTTGGACCCATCCTTGCCTCGTGGCCTTTTCTCTTCCGATGGTGCCGAACCGGCCGACTTCTTTGTCCCTTGCTCGCTTCCTTGCTGCACTGACGATTGTTCGGCAGCACTCTCAACTACCTTTCGCGCACTCGAAGTCGATTCCGCTGTTGATGTGCCTCCAACTGAATCTCCTGTGCCTGACTCTGTCTCTGTCGTTGAGGGTTTTACACGATCGACACCCGTTTCGACCGCATTCTCTGTATCCTCTGCCTGAGCAGAATCATAATCGGCATCCACTTCCTCCTTCAAGAACCGAAAGATGTCATTCAGGACGTAATATCCGTTAGGTTGCTCGGCGAGGAAGAACGTTTGCGCGAATTTGTGCGACGGGCCACCTTTGTTAGACATCTCACCAAGCACCTGAATCATGATTCCATTGTCGATTGATGCTTGGCTATCCACGTTTGATACAAGGACCCGACATTCGTCAAAACCGAGTTCTACAATCTTCTTGTGTATCTCCTGCATAAAATATAGCCTTAGAATCTGTCTCTACACAGATCAAAGCCCCGAATTGATGCACAGAGCCCATAAGATGCTCGTATAACCATCGCATCGTGCACTATGTCGACCGCCACTACGCCTACCGTCCGTTTGCAGTCATCGCGCCGACCACAAGACTAGCATCAGGGGACGATCGTAGCGGCTCAGAAACCCCTACGCCAATACGTACCGTCTGACCGTGACAAGTCTTCACTTGCTCTCCCTCCACTCCATGAATCATGGTAGATTTCTTTGAGTAAAAGCAGTGAAGCCGTTTGGGGTCCTTGTTAAGGAACGTGTAATACTCATGAACAAACATCCAGCCTACTTCGTTGGAAGAGACTGTTTGTTGAGATGATAGAACACCAGCCGACATGTTATCCGCAACCGCAGGAGCAGTCATAATGAGGATAGTATGCGATGAAAAGAGTGGGACAAGAGAAGAATAGGAGAGAGAGCTAGTTTAGCAGCTTGAAAGCCTTTGGGGTTAGGGTTCACAAAATTTGCAAGTCTTTGGTCTTCGAGTTCTTTGACAGCCATTATGTCAACAATTAGAAGCGTCGTCGCTGAGAAGAAGCATCGGTGAGGGGAACGTACTATAGAATAGATTAGAGCGCATTTTGTGTGGACTTGTGCACTTGCCATCACTCCCATGAGTTCCTTTTTGGTAACATTGCCATTGGCGTCCTTGTCTATCTGGTAAATGGCCTGGCTAAAGTCACCGACGGGTATGAAGATGCTAGAAAGGATGTGAGCACGCTTGCTTATCTTAAGGCAACAGGCCTCTAGAGCTCACCGGCCAGGGCTTTTCAATTGATCAATTAACTCTTGCGGCATGGTGGCGGCCGCTGCTCCTACGTGACTGCAATGTCGTTAAGCAATTGCTTCCACACGAA